ATCCACAATGGACTACCTCAAGGGGCACAAGCTGAAGGTGTTGCTATGGCCTTCACAGTCCCCCAATCTGCTGATTATTTTCTCCATTGATCAATTGATTATTTGCTTTGCAAAAGCAATGAAAACAGTGATAAACGGTGTCACAATGACCCAGAGCCCAAAGTGACGCCTTTACAATGTTTTGTCCAACTAAGAGTCCAGACCGCAACATGATTATTAATACATTACAACTGCTTATATTATTCAAAGGAGAAGCAAAACTTAATATTTGTGCAGCTGGAACCATAAAATGTTTTTGCATGGAAAATATTTCAACCATAAAAATAGTTTACAATTAATTTTCTGTCAGTCAACTGATTGGTGGACTAATTGTTTCAGCTGGACTTGTATAAAACATTGGGTAGCTTGATTTATAACAAAACATATTTAATAAACTTTTCATTTGTTTTTTGCAAAACTCTTAATTTGCAAAGTAACTAAAGCAGTTGAATGTCATGTAGAAGTATGAAGTAGCATTAAGAAATACTCAAGTACCTCAAGTTTGTACTTAAGTAATATACTTTATGTAGTAAATGTTCTCTTAATCTTTCACCACTCTTTTTAAAAGAGTGGAGAGTGACTCAGCCGCTCTTCAGTCCGACCACGCTGCCGGATTTCAGCGAGTGTGTAGGCGAGAGCGTGTTGGCAGAGTGTTGGCAGATGGTCGGCAGGCGGAGAATTAGAATCCATTCACAGAGCTCAGACATGAATGAAGACAAACACAATCGCAGCTTCTGTCAGGAGCCGCACTCAGCAGAGACAGATTAATACCACACTGATCAGAGACATCAGAGAACAAAGCAGACAACTCTGGATGCTCTTTTGATCAAAACATGGTGCATTTAATAAAGCAAGCAGTGTGTGGGAGTTTCTCTTTTAGCCTACTCTCGCTTATATAAAGGGAGTGGACAAAACAACAGAAACACTTGGCAGTTAAACACAATACAGTTCAGCAGTACCACAGACTAAATCCTCCACAGTGATCCCACAGTTGAATCAACACCAAACAGAACCTACATGAAAAAGGATTTATTGCAGGACTGTTTGTGATGAGACTGCCACAGTATAAGATAGTTGTTCCTAATAAACTGCACACTGATGGACAAAATAAGAAAAAGGATCATGCAACTTTTGCAGCCACTTGCACTTTGCAACCTGCACAGTTGAGACAAAAAAAAACCCTGTAATTCTCAAAGCACCCGCAAAGGGTGAAATGCACCCATACCTGTGCTGCCACTGCAAATACCATCCCAATGCTCCTCTGCTATTTGCCATAAATTGCCCCCTTTATATGCAAATGAGCCTCACTGCAAAAACAGTCCAACTCACAAAGATTAGTCAGTGTTGTCATGCCAGCTCTGGACCGCCCTCCGGTCGCTGGCTGCAGTACATGTCATTAACCCTGCCCCCTCCATGCTAGCAGATGGAATGTTGGCAAAAAGGTCAGGCATGTCCAAAGTCTGGCCCGGGGGCCAATTGTGGCCCGCAGACCAATTTCAATTTGCCCTCAGCTTGACTCTCAAAATATACCATATGTGGCCCTTTACACTAGAACAGTTAATAGAGCAAGATCACTTCGCATTTTCACCCTTCACCTTACAATGATAGGACTATTATACAGTTTGTAGACAGGCATCACGTAGTAATAGTTCATTAAAAGATAAAAGTGGCTGCATTTGTCTCACTTTAAAAAAAAAAAACAAACAAACAAAAAAAAAAAACATTTGATGCAAGAATCAGTTGGCCCCCAGGTATTTTCACGTTGTTTTATCTGGCCCCCATTCAAAAAAGTTTGGACACCCCTGCTGTAGGTAGTTCTTATCCCATTGATCTGTGTTCAAGTATTTGTTTTTCTGATATGTTTTGTTTTGTTAATTAGTTATTTGATGCTATGAAAATAGGGGTTTGACATCATGATTGATAGCTGTGTGTGCCAATCAGTGTGCTTGCGATCAATGGCACTGCTCGTGATTGGTCGGATGGGTGTATGTACGCAAACATCACACCGCAGAGATAGCTATTACTGTATGGTGACTCTCAGTGCTTCTCAAACTGAATGATGCTTCCTTGGTAGAATGCGTCCTTTCAAGTTGGGTCCTACAGAGGCGAGGCAAGACTCCTTCCTTGCACACAAGTGAACACATATTGGAACAGGCTAGCAAGCGCTCAGGTGTATGTCACTGAAGAAGCCCCGCCTTCAATTCTGGCAAATCATGCGCAAAGAATTGTGGGTCCTAGGAAGAATTTGAAAGATCCTTGACATTGGAAGAGTCCTTTGGCAGGATTAGATAACGTAGCCTCCTTGAAATTCAGCTGGTTAAGGATCCTTCCTTGACTTTGAGAAGCACCATCTGGTTCCACGTTGTCACCTGTGCAATATGGCAGTGGCTGTATACAGGACATTTTGGCTTCATTTTTGTGCAGTGGCATTATATGGGGATGCATTGTCCATCTTTATGTACAGACTAGTCTGCAATATTTCATTTTCTTTTCTCTCTGCAATTGTTCTGCCTACTGTGTTCTTGGTGCAAAGGCAACACTTAGAGTTTGTTGCACGATTAACTGCCATCAGATACAATACATCATCAATACAGCTAATGAGGGAATCTTTAGGGAGAATATTTTTCGTCCCTCCATCAGAGCTCTGCACACTAGGAGAATCTCTGACAAGAGTTACCTAAGCTTTCCTGAGCTGCAGCAGCTTTTCATAAATCCTTAACTACTTTCTTTCAAACTGGTAAATTACTAAACCAGGTCACACTATTAAATGTCTCAGTAAAACCTTAAGTAGTGTGTGGGTTGGTTGCTAGGAAATGTCGTCCAATCGAGCATCACTGTAGCATCACAAGCTAGGATAACTTCCAAAACCTAGAGTTTTAGAGGCTTAAAGATACAGTGCATTCACAAAGTATTAAGAACCTTTTACTTTTCACATTTTGTGATGTTCCAGCCTTATGCCAAAATCAGTCTGCACTCAGTTCCCCACATAATGAAAACTGAATGTTTCTAAAAATGAAGAAACTGAACAATTGCATTAACAGTATTCAGACCATTTACTCAGTATTTAGTCAAAGCACCTGTGGCAGCAATCAGTGCCTCATGTCTTCTTGGGTATGACATGACGGGCAATTTGGATTTTCTGCCATTTTTCTCTGCAGATCCTCGCAAACTGTGTGGATGGGGACCGTCGGTGGATGGTCATTTTCCACTTTCTCCAGAGACGCTGGCTTGGGTTCAAGTCCGAGCCCTGGCTTGGCCACTGGAGGACATTTACAGAGTTGTCCCTGAGCCACTCTTGCATTGCTTGGCTGTATCCGTCAAGTCATCGTCCTGTTGGACGTTAAACCTTCGGCTCAGTTTTCTGTACTATGATCCACTCAGCTTCCCCCCTACCCTGACCAGTTCCTGCTCCTGAAAAACACCCCCTTTGTATGATGCCGTCACCACTATGCTTCACCATTGAGACGTTCCTGTGCAAGGGATGAGCCGTCTGACGACTCTACAATAAAGCCCAGATCACTGGAGTGTTCCAGTGAAGGATGTCTCTCTGGAAGGTTCTCCCATCAACACAGGTGCTCAGCCAGTGTTATCTCTGGGGTCTTGGTAACCTCTCACGGCACTGAAACACCAAGGTGACAGTTGGCCCTCGGTCAATGTTAGGCCATCGTTGAGCATCTGTAGGCCTGGTCACTGTGGTGTGTCCCACACCATTGCCCCTTATTGACCCCATTGACTTTTGTTTTGGCTGATTCAACATGTTCAATCAGCATCAACAATGTCGGGGTCCACTAGAGAAAGAAATCTATTCCTAATGGCAGTCTATTCCTATCTACTCCTATTGGCAGTTGAGCTCAATACACAAGAAGAGAAAAAGAAATGAAGAAGGTAAACAAACAGCTGATGTCAAGAGGGAGTGAGATCGAAACAAACTTAAAAGGTAAGATCATTTTTCTTTAGCCGTTGAGCTTTTTAGCAGAAACATTTCCTGATAATTGTGTTATTGTTCACTGCCACACAGTAAGTATGCTCTGTTTTTTTCATCATTGGATCATGTTGTAAATACGTTATATAACTGGCATCAAGTCTTCGAGTTTCCCTTTTTAAATGAGGATTACAGATTACCATGGCTGCTGGCGCAGAAAGTACATGCTGGCCACCCATCAGCTGTAGTCTCTATGGTTTGCTCATGTGCGACTTTTTTGGCCGAGACATTGTGACGTGAGGCGATGCAGGAGGGGGCCTTCCTTGCTGCTAGTTCCCTGAAGTCAGTTTGGTGTGTCTGGGCATTTACCAAGATCCTTCTCACCCAACTGCTCTGTTTAACCAGGCTGCCAGTTCTAGGAAGAGTACTAGTTGCTCCAAACTTATTCCATTTAAGAATTATGGAGGTTACTGAGCTCTTTAGAACCATTATTGCAGCAAAATGGCCTCCCCCAGATCTGTGCCTTGACACAATCCTGTCTCTGGACTCATTCTGACCTCATGGCTTGGCCTTTGTCAGCTGTGAGACTCATGTCCAATCAGTTGAATTTACTGCAGGAGGACTCCAGTCAAGCTGTAGAAACATTCTACGATGAGCAAGAGAAATAAAAGGTACCGGAGCTAAAGTCAAAGGGTAACAGCAAAGTTTCTGGCCACTTATGACGATTTCAAAATTTTCTGTTTTTGCATCTGGTCTGAATGTACTGCATATCTTTTGCAAATGCAGTTATTACTGAGTTTTATTCATGTCTACATACAGTACATGGAGAAATCTGTGTTTCAGTTAGTAATATCTGATTATGCTAAGCTAACAGATGTTTTTGGCTGTTTGTTTGTTTGGCCGTTTGTTTGCTGTGCTATTTTCATAATGTTAATATTGAGTAACAGCTCATCTCTATGTAAGAACTAATTTATAAGCTGCAACCTGTTTTAATTTAGTGATATAAGTCCACTTAGTAAAGACAAATGTGAGAACAAGGTTGAGTTTGAATTTAATAACGTACTGAAAGCTGCAGCAGCCATCTCCTGGAGTCTCATCATAGAACAATTAAAGTGATGGAAAATGTCACAAATACTGTAAATTCAAACCCCATTTGAACTAAAAGCTCACTTTAATTTTGTAGACCATAAATCCTTTCAGTGCTTTCATAAACAAACAACAATAGTAATGAAAAACACAAGAAATACAGAATAGAAGAGTCTTTTCCGATATAAAAATAGAAATTTTTAGGGAATGAGCGACACTGAGAAGCAGCCAATCAGCTTCACTAAATGAGCGAGGTCACCTGATCAGACAGAGAGTCTTGCTCAAAGAGTTCAGATATAGTTTCCTCTCATTTCTGAAAAGCTGAGGAAAAGCATACTGTGGTTCCACAGTATCTGTTTCAGGTGATAGTCTGTATCCCACAGGGCCAAACCTTTGGGAGGTTTTTTATTTCCTTCACCTCCATTCTGTCACTGTCTTTTTTTCCCTGACAGAGTTAGATGTCAGACTGCAGAGGTCAGAGATCAGGGGTCAGCTGTCCCTCAGGCATCGCACACTTTCTGTTTCGGACCTGGACCACCTCCTTCCTCTCCTTTAGGAAGTTTCCAAAGGCATCAGTCTCTTTGCTCTCCTCCGTTGCTGAAAAAAAAATCCTTCATTTACAGTTGTATTAAACAGTTCAATCATGTAATAGTTTTCTTTGTGTTTTTTACAATATGTGCATTTTTTACAGTGTATATTTGAGTTTTATATATTGTTGGTGTAGTTTACAGTATATATGTGTTCTCCAGTGTATATGTTTGTTTTTATAGTGTATGTGATTTTTTTAAGTGTGTATTTGTGTTTAATATAGTGTAATTTTTACAGTGTATATCTGTGTTTTTCAGTGTACATGTGCATTTTTTTACAGTGTATGTTTTTTTTTTACTGTGTCTATTTGCATTTTATATAGTGTATATGCATTTTTTAAAATGTATGCATGTATGTTTTTTACAGTGCATAAATGGGTGGTTGGGGTGGGTTTTCTTTTCTCACCAATGTGGTCAATATCATCTGTGTCGCTTTCCACCTCCTCCTCCTCTTCATCAGGGTTACCACGTGTCATAATTAGGTCACTAGGCCCAGCTATGTCAGTGTCTTCTGTGGACAGGAAGTCAATCAGCAATATATAACAATAAAATTCAGTGCTACAAACTTTTGGTGGATTTTTACAAACAGACTTTTATCAACCATCCCATCATCACCTTCCTCTTACTATTAAGATTTTCATGAAACTTGATGCTATTTATGGTCAGTATTTTTTAGCAATAGCCATTCAATGTATCTACTTCTGAACGTATCTCTTCATATGGTAGTTTTCATTGTTCATGCACTGGAGTTAGAATAACTTCGCACACATATGATGGATTGAGGGAGGAATAAGACCTGTCAAATAAAGTATCACCAGTAAATACCATTTTGTTTTCAGTATAAGTTGGTTCTACCTGTTGAAGGTGTGGTCGTCATGTCGACTGCTCCCAGGTCCTTCCTGAGCCGCTCCAGTTGCTCCTGCTGCTTCTTGTTTTGAGCTTCCACCTGATGGGCAGGAAGTCAGTTAAAAGATGGAAATGTATGAGTACAGACACTTAGAAACAGGAGACAAAAAAGGGAGAAACACACTCACCAGCTTTTTGCGGAGTCTTTCATATTCAGGTCGATACTCCCTGAAGAAGGAGGAGGAAGAGTGAGTTTATCACACAAACTTGTTTCCTTCATGAGAAGAGAATATATCAATGTTATGATAACTGCATGAAGGCGTTTGAAGGTGGAACACAGCATGAGGATAAATCTTAAACAGAAGACTGATGAAAAATAACTTTTTTATTACACTTTGGACCATCTACAGTCATTTTAGTGTACCAACATGTGTGAGGTTCCACAAGGCTCAATCCTTGGTCCTCTATTTTACATATAGTTGCTTCCATTAGACTTTATCATAAGAACAATAACATCAACAATGACTTCAGCTATCATAATTGTGCAGATGACACCCAAAGTTATCTTGTCATCTGTCACTGAGTGCTACAGTCCCATAGGATCTCTCTCCAAACTTTCTTCATCTGTATGCAGACAAAACAGATAATTGTGCACACACAACTGACACATCTTCTCTCTGTACCTGTTCTTTTTCATCTACATTCACACTGAGCTGCATTTCTCCAACAAACCAGTCATTGTGTCTACCTGAGTTAGATACACATAATTAGACCCATTAAGCTGTAGTATAGATGGAACTGCAGACTTGACTTATGAAATGAACCCACACTGTGAACTCTGGTTGTATTATGCCTGTATTTGTAGATGTACTCTCAGGTGAATTAAATGTGTAGGTGACAGCCTGTATGAAGGAATGAATTGATCAAACTAGGATGTTTAGAAATGGAGTTGGGTTTATTTCTGGTTTTGCCGGTCCAGGCTGGTGTACGAGCTTAAACCGTTAGACTTAATGCAAACTGGCTGGGCCGACATTTGTCACACTGACACGTTCAGGCAAATTACAAAGTAGCCTACATCAGCAACCTGTGCCAACAGCGTCACAGCACTAAATCCAACTTGTATTACATTAGTTATCAGCAATATGCCAAAATGAGCCCAGCTACAGCAACATAACAAAGATAAAATATCAGTAAAGGTAAAAGGGGCAGAGTTGCACACGCTGTGCTTGTTCACAATAATGTTCAAGTGTTTTGGGGTGATGAGGAAACATAGCAGAGTCTCCCACGAAAATTAAAAGTACACCAATATGGCAACATTTTAGATTTGAAGCAAGGAAAAAGGTGTCCTAATCCAGCCAGTGCACTGTTCAGAACTCAACTTTTTTCAGATGGCCTGTTTCTATTTATAGCCTACCCATTGCTAACTTTGAAGGACGGCTCATTCATGAAATTGCATCTAGGAATTATCTAGATGATACCTCCTTATTTTACTATAAAAATCAACCTAGGTGTCAGCTGGCTTGAGGGGGATCGCAGGGAGTTCAAAGTTTCTGGTGAGCTGAATGACTATCGCTAATAACAAGCTAGGCTACCTGCTGTTGGCTATACTGTGTCATTTCCAGTAAATGACACAGTATTAAACAATTGTTTTCTGTTTAAAAAGTAACGTTACAAATGTGGGAAGATAGCAGATAGGCTACTCACCCATCTTTTAAGTGATGACATATCCAGTCTGATCTGGAGTGCACAGCTGATAGGCCTGTTTGATTTGTTTACACGACGTGACAGAAGTGCATATTTTGAGTATTCAATGTGAACGGAGAGCTTCGAAGTTATGGGGTGCAATGTGATAATAGTTAGACACTCTTTCCTGTTAGGACACAGTGTTATTATGTTCCACTCAGGAGTAGCTGCGAGTCAAGTGCGTAAAATTCAGTATACCAGTCCGATCCAGCTCTTAATATTAGACCAGTTTGAAAAATTATACACCAACCCAACCCTTTTTAGAGAGTCATAATGTCAGATTGGTAACATTAATAGCCCACCCTAACATGATCTGACATCAACTTCTCCATGTTTGAGAGAAACATGAGGTGTAAAGACCAGAGGTGAGGAGCTGTGTTTGCGCATCTGAATACAAAGAATGTGACAAAAAACATCTGTGATGAAAGAATGAACCAAATTGAAAAATAGTTTGCAACTGTTTTAACTCGCCTCTCATACTCTTCAGCAGCATCCTCCACCTGAACGAACAGCTCATCCAATCCATTTCCTGTCACTGCGGACACGCCCACCACCTGCAGACACAGAGACAACAATGTCAGGAGGGGTGGACCTTTAACACTGGGCTCTAATGACTTTTATTTTCCTCAACTTGGCTCTACTGAGAGTGAACATGCTCATGAGTTTTTGTTTTATTTTGTCCTTATATTTTCCCTGATCAGCGATAGGAATGCAGGCATTCATTATAAGGATGCAGAAGCTGTGGTAGAGGTTGTTAAAAGCAGTTAATCTAACATTTGTCATGTCGATCAAAGACACGTTACTGAAAGAATTGTTATTTATCCAAATGGACTTGCAAGAACCCGCACAGCTGCAAACATCTCATCCACACAGTGCCATTCTCTTGTGACTATTTTTCATCAATGTAGGTATTCAGCTAGCAATAAAGGGAGATGATGTCACTTTTCTTAATCCTCCCCACACAGCTCTGATTGGTCGACTGTGTCACAACCTGGTGGACATAGCTGTCCCTGAGCACAAGACCAGATCTATATGAATCACTAAACAAACTACAGATGTGGCTGTTGACGCAGGGATTTGGAACCATGCTAGCTGTTTATACAGTTTAAAGGACAACTTCAGTATTTTTCAACCTGGGCTCTATTTCCCCATGCGTATGTGTGCATATGATTCATGGGTACCACTCGTTCTAAAATTGGTTCAGTATTGAGCCGCAAAACGAGCTAAAACGGTAATGGGGGCAAATACGTCCAGTATAAAAGTGCTTTTTTTCGCCACTGACCGGTTCAGATCGCCAGTGCTATCTCTGTAAATAGCATATGGTAGCGGCCCTGGGGCAGTGGTGAGTGTGAATGAGTGGAGTCAGCTGTCAGTCAGTGTTGGAGCAAAAAGGCGGAAGGCGTCCCCGCTTGGTAATGTAAATGAGTATGTGTGTGTGAAGTGTGTGTTACGCTAGAAGAGTCAGAGGACAGAGTCTTTTACGTGCTACCCCCTGGAGTGTTACCGGAGTTTTTGGAGTGCTCAAAATAAATGGGCCTTTTTCCCGAACGCAAGAACAGGATGTCGCACAACACCCCGTACAGCTTTCACAGGCTGCCTTTGTCGGACGGCGAGATGCTGAAGTTGTGGCTAGTTGTGCTACAGATAGATGCTAACACTCCTCTCCAGACACTGCGCCTTGCAGACCATCTGGTCTGCAGGGCTCACTTCTCCTAAGATGACTACTGCCAGCCGAAGAAGAGAAGACATCCAATCCTGAAACACCTCTTCCTCAAGAAAACGGCTGTCCCACGAGTAGAGAGAGCTACAGACACAGTGGAGCAAAGCTCGTGACATCACACAGCCCAGAGGTAAGGGAAAGGCTAAGTTAGCATGGTATTTACAGAGATAGCACTGGCGATCTGAACCGGTCAGTGGAGAAAAAACACACACTTCACACACACATACTCATTTACAATACCGAGCGGGGACACCTTTCGCCTTTCTGCTCCAACACTGACTGACAGCTGACTCCACTCATTCACACTCACCACTGCCCCAGGGCCGCTACCATATGCTATTTACAGAGATAGCACTGGCGATCTGAACCGGTCAGTGGCGAAAAAAAAGCACTTTTATACGGACGCATTTGCCCCCATTACCGTTTTAGCTTGTTTCGCAGCTCAATACTGAACCAATTTTAGAACGAGTGGTACCCATGAATCATAAGTACACATACACATGGGGAAATAGAGCCCAGGTTGAAAAATACTGAAGTTGTCCTTTAATCTGATCCCCGGAAGTCAACCCCCTCCAAAGAGGACAGCCGTGCAACATAGATTACCATAGTGATCTATCCTGGTTAAAAGTGAGCCAGCTTCGTAACACAGGGAAATCTGAGTTAAGACCTAAGGTAATTGGTTAGCCCGCTAATTTCACTTTGTGGTACAAGCCCCAAATGTTTGAGAGTGGATGAAGAGCTTTACGAAAATGCCCTTGAAATGCTGGTGTAGATGCACATCATCCAGGGTTTTAAATATTAGACAGTTAGTATGGATTTACTGTGAGCTGTCTAAATATAATTGGCTATGCAGGAAATCTTTCTTGGTTCAGCCTCTTGGTCTGTGTGCAGTGTGCACCCGCTTACCCTCAGGTTGGTGTAGAACTCGTCCAGCACCAGACTCATGGAGCGTGTCAGGTTGCTGACATACGAGGTTTCCTGGTTCAGAGCATCCTGAAAAACCTCAAAGTCCTGCATCCACTCCACTGCAAAGCTGTGGTCAATAATGTCAGTCTGTAAAAACAACACAAGAGAAAGCATAAACAAACCAGCAGCAACTCCTTGTTAAAATTTCCACCACAAATCAATTCAAACAGCAGACAGGAAGTGACCTCACCTTGTTCATGACAACAATGAAGGGCAGCTTGGTCTTGTAGAGAATGCTAAAGAAAAGAAACATCAGGTGAGACAAAGAACTGAAACCAGAACTGCAAAAATATTTTGAGACATGTCAGCTGTGTCACAATTACATGCAGTAGGTACTGATTCTATGCAGGTTTTGGGTCTGGAGTGTGGTCACATTGGAAAAGTGACTAAATTAAGGCAAAATAAAATGGAGACTAAAAAACACTAAATTTTTGAGTTTACAGTTAAAAATTTGACTTTTTTGTGGAGAATCTATCCGAACTGATCCAATCTGAAGGACACATGCTAACACCAATATATAGGCGTATTTATAAACCAACAGAAACGTCACAGAAACAGAAAAGCCACCAGGAAAGCCTGTAAAAGACTCAGTGAAAGCTACAGATGCGTATTGCTGTTCTCTTTACAGACAGATTTTTAGAATATATTTGTTACCATGTAGTGAAATTGCCTCCATTAAAAGTATTCTGAATGAGCTATTAGCAGCTCCTGTTTGCAGTGTATCCATGGATATATGGACAATTATCACTGGATTACTCTGATACCAAGAAAACTTAAAATTGTGATGATTTACAGGCAAGTTCTGTTTTTCTGTTATTTCTAAGTGGATTTATGGACATCAGAGATAATGATATTATCGGGAAGCCTAAGTCACACTAAATGATATCAGTATGTGTTTAATGTCTGTGTGTTCACATTTCACTGAGCAAGGAAGAAGGAAAAGAGGGAGATCTTTTTAATCTACTAAACCTCCTGCAGTATCTTCTGTCTCTCTCTTTTGGTTGAATGAGGATTAGGTGAAGTTTAAGTGAAAGTATCTTTCTGAAGTCACAGTTTTATTAACTTGCTTTATGTGCTGCAAGAATTGTTTCGTCCCCTTATAATACAGAGCACAAACAGCAAATAGTTTCTTTTTTAATAACTGTGAAAACACTATACTCTGAAGAATTAATATAAAGCACATCCTGTATGCAGTTAGTGTGTAGTATGGAGCTGCAGTTCATCAGTTTTATCTTATCTGCTCTGTTAGCTCCCTCTACTGGAGACTGAAGTAACTGATGCCAAACACTATCTCACTGCCAATTGTTTTGGTCTATCTATGCTTTAGTGTTATCTAAAAATGGAAATACTTAGTTTAAGGCCCTGACAGACCAAACCAACATGAGAGGACTAGCGGCATCGAGAGCCCCCTGCTGCATCGCCTCACGTTGCCATGTCTCAGCCAAAAGGTTGGTCAAAAGGCCAACTACAGCCAATGAGGGCCAACAGTGCGGGACATACCCTACTGACAAGGGCAGCAGACGCTCACCAACAGCCTGACTTTGACCGACAGCCAACCATCGGCTTGGTGTGTCAGGGCCTTTACACATTACTGAAAACATTGGCGATTATTTTTGCAGGGTAAAAAACTGTGAGAAAAGTTTCATATCTGCATTTTTCATATTAAAGATACTCTAAATGATCTTAAGATGGTTGTGCTATGATCTGAAGAATCAAGTGTTGTTCTACCCTGTGGTGTTTTTGAAAATGTTTTTACAAACAGATTCTGTTTTCAAATTTCCCATTTCTGATCGTCTGACTGCTTGAGTTTCTTGACACATCTGACTTCTTTTAGTGATGTCACCGTGTTCATACATTTTACATAATTGGTGCACACAATGTTATTATAACTGATAATAATTACGAACGGGAATCCAAAAATAACATCCTAGTGTAAATAAGACAGATTTTATTCCCTCTGCTGAGGGTGACTTAAGTCTGGTACCTGCAGGCGTACAGCATGTTGGACATGAATGTGACAGGGTTGACGCTGCGGGACGTGTCCATCACATAGACAACTACACAGGGGAAGGACGAGGCCTGAAACACACATGTGGAATATAAATTATATAATATATTGTCAATAAAGGAGAGCAATCAGAAGCCCAGCGTGCAGACCCACCAGAGCCTCTGTGATGATGGTTCCAGACGCAGACCAGGTGAAGACTTCAATTTGACCCGGGGTGTCAATCAACACGTACCTGCAGAGGTCAGAGGTGATCAGACACAACACAAGTAGTGATAAGCTTAGTGTAAACACAGAGTGATGAATGTAGAGGAAGATGAGTCATCCAGTTGAGTGAAGGGAGTTTGGTTATGGCGCCGCTAGACTGACAACAGCACTGCTTTTCACTTACATGAGCAACACAGCAGGTGGAGAGGGACAGGTGGGTGCTATGGAGGGCAAAGTTCAAGTCAGTGACCTGCTGGTGCTTTCGGGTGAGGTTAATTTAAACACAATGTCTACAACTTCTTTTTTTCATATTTTATCTGTCACAGTAAGATAATATAAGATATTTTACAATGAAAACTTAGACAACAAACATCAACAAAGCACTGAAACAGAATTTTCATTTCCTCCTCTACTTTTTTATTGCTTTGTTCTCAGGCAACCTGTATTATTTTACAAGATGGAAGTCACATCTTAACACCACTTATCCATATAATTTCCAGCACTGCTGGATGAGCATGAGGGCGTCTATTTTAACGCAAGGTATGAAGAAAAGATTTCCCTCGATACCCTGGAATTTGCATGTGTTAAGTCAATCATACAGAATGCCAGCCCTCCTCTGATATTGCTACATTTACCTCTGGTTCCTGTTTTACTTTGACATACAGAGGACTGTGTTGCTTACACCTTCTGTAGTAGGGATGGGCAGCACAAGCAAAAGCACTATTCGAAAATCATGGCAACTATTCGACAATTTTTCGAATAATCGGCAAATAAGAAGGCGAATAGTAATAGTCGCATTAAAAAATTGATTTTTCAAAAATAAAACAACTATTCAAAATTCGAAAATTGTGACCCATCCCTATTCTATAGTGCTTTTTAATTACAGCACCACTTTTATAACTGTATCTCAGCATGATGGTGAAACACCATCATACTGAGATAACCCCAGCCGGCAGTTGTATGCCTCAACAAATAAGTCAAGTTGCAGTTACAGATTCCATCCATGTCTGTGAAAACATGCTTCCACCAAAATCAAGTCAGTTCATCGCTGAGTTCAAGTGAATGTTTGTGCCAAATTTGAAGAAATTCCCTCAAGGCATTCTTGAGATATCACATTAACAAGAATGAGACGATTGGACAGACAGACAACCTTAAAAGATAATGCCTCTGGCCACAGCTATCGCCAGTGCGGAGGCATAAATAAAACAATTTGCAGCCAGTCATTTTACTGTTGGAAAACCAATCAGCTGCTGAACCCACACAGGTCAATTGTACAAAGACAAACAGGAAACTGTCATTAAAGAGTAGGATGAGGATGGAAATGTCCACATGGTCAATAGCAGATGTCGGCAGATTCACAGTCAAGCTTCACTGTCACCGAGAAAGCCCACTCTGCTATACAGAGACATCACAGGGACGAACAGAACGACACTGACAGCACAAATAGCACTTAGAATGTGGGGAAGCACACAGGCTGATACTGACCGGTGATTCTGTTGCTTCTTCTCTATGAACTGCATCACCTGAGAAACATAAACACACACGTATTACATCATCATCACAGCTTGTTCAGTCCACTGTTTGTCATGATTACTTCAGAGTTTGGGTTTGAATTAGGACTGTCAAAATTGCTCAAAAATGATGTTCGAATATTCCTTCTAAAAATAACTCATAGGTTCGAACCATTCAAAAAAAATTTTTTCGCATTATGTCCACAAGAGGGCAAACTAATACGGAAAGGAAGGAAACATACTTGTATATGTATTAATACAAGGAAACATAACTACTTGTAGGTATTTTTATTTCAACATAAACGTCTTTGAAAACATTTACATACCTACACATTAAAACACATAAAACAATTATCTATAACATTACATTAGAAACGACCGCAGACCTCTCGCTTGCCCCACCTCTCTGACCCATCAGGCCACACCGCTCACGGAAAAGTTTCCTTTCGGCGCCCATGTTAACCGATTGTGTCATCCACACCGGCTGTGCCGCGCAGCTCCGTGGCAGGCTCTGGTCTATTTTCTGCACGAGGCGAGCGAATGTGTCAAGCCGGGTGACGGGGACAACAGCTGGGAGCAGAACCGCTTGTCGACCAGCATGAAGAAATGCGCGTCTGATGTGAACGTTTTTCAAATTCAAATTTAAATCCGAATTTAGAATATTTGTTGACAGCCCTAGTTTGAATGGTTTAGTGCTTTGGTTTACATTTTCAGAGCTTTAGTCTAAACATTTAAGACTTTTAAAGTGAATTAAAGCTTTGGGCTTTTGGGGCTGTTGAGGACTTTGGTTAAGATATTTCAAACAGTCCAAAGTTTTTAGAGTTTACATCTATGAGTTAAATGGTTTAACGCTTTGGAAGAGTTAGACTGAGTCACCTGATCAAAGCGTGTAGCAAACAGGTTGAGTGATGTCACTATGCCTCCGTTTGGTCCAAGGCCGTACTGCTTCATCACCTCCTTGTAGTTCACAGTGTCCCTGATGTCTGGAGGAAAGAGGACAGACAGACTGAAGGCTACAGAACTGAACACTGTCTGGCTGGACCAACTCTGAATGACTCTAAATAAAGCCTCCATAGAGTGGCACTTTCTACCGCAGAAAATCACCAATAAACGCTTCCACAGACAACCAGACACGCTCGAAATATGATCTGAAATCGGGGAGAAACTTACAACAGCAATAAGTTCCTGGTTCCCTGATGTTAGCATGTAGCTCCACGCAGCAGTGTAGGCTACGTAATCTAAACACGTACCGTAACATGACTGGAGCAGATCACCATATAAAGAATTTCAGCACACTAAGATGTCAAACAGTAGATAGAGTAGAAAAAAATGGAAACAGAGCGTTCAGATAGGCAGAAAACCTGAGGTTGTTGCTCACAGGGATTACTTCTACATATGCTTACTATATCAATTACCTTGCCACGTTCAATCTGAACATCTGACATTGTAACGCTACTATACAGACACAGTATGTAGAAAAGTATAATAGTTCCCCTTCAAATATATGTTGTGTCCATAAAATAGACTAGTCCTCACCGATGTTTGCAGGGAAGGGGACTTCATGGACAGCAGGGTCCAGGTTAATGACATATGGAGGAGCTTTACGAGTGTGAAGGTGAGCAGTCAGCCTCTGGAGGAAACAGAACAAAACAGATCCGAATAGAGCTATTGTACATAAGAGGCATAAAGTTGTGTTATTTCTGTTCAATATAAATTTTTATAGAAGCATAAGTATCACAGATGTGCGTTACCATTCTTTCCAGTAGGGATGCATGCCATTGGATTTTTTCGCGGGATCTGATACCAATATCGACATATACTTTTACCCCACCTAATTTTACTCTCGTCTCTTCTGTAGTAGAATTATCATCATATTATGCATGCATACTCTTATCATGATGACCAGCAGATGGAGACATGATATATAGAATCCTTTCCAGTGTATGTAATAATCATTCATTGTGCAAAGTAAGAAGAAGCATGTTTGCAGATTGAAAAGTAATAAGAAGATTCTGTTCATTTTAAAGCCGATATTGGCCGATACCAATCACATGCTGACATTATCACACATCCCTACTTTCCAGCTGAAACAAAATTTTTATTAAGTGATGACTATCTGTGGGTTCTGCCATAATTGAGTTAAGTTTGTGCATTAATTATATTCAGACTAAATCCAATGTCTTAAATATCAGCCCCCACCTTTTCTAAAATAAAAATTATTTGAAAAAATATCTTAAAATAGAAATGATTTAATAACAGAAATTATTATAGTAAATATGTTTTCTATTTTTTTATTGCTGCAAATGTAGCCTACAACTGAGTTCTTTAGCTTCAAATGCAATGTTGGAAATCCCAACAATCTACAGACTATAGACTATTTTCAGCGGCGGATTAATCCACAGTTGGAGCAGTAGTGAGTCTTCGTGGCAGCAGGCAGACACACAACAGTTGTTAGATACATTGACAGTTGGTTCGAGTCTTTGGTCCATTAATCTGATATGTACAAATGATGGTTACTTGAGAAACTGTAACGTTAGCTAATATTATCCTACAGTAGCTAATAGTAAGCAAGCTTGCAATAGAACACGTTACAGTGATTAAACTCTATTTTCCATTATATCCACTGATGTCTAACGAGAACTTGGCGCAGAACAGTTTTTTAAACAGCCTCGTGAACAGTTTACCTTCTCAGCTTATTACCTGTCTAAAGGAGCTAACTCATGCAGTTAGCTACCGTTAGCCACGCTCGCTAACTGACCTGAACGAAGGTGGTTTTCCCGGACCCCGCCATGCCCAGCACGATGAGACACACGGGTTTGTCTCGGGCAGTAGCTCCCGGTGCCCCGCTGTCTTTTCCCGCTGCTGAACTCTCCTGATTTTCCATGAAATCCTCCTTAGCACCGTGACACTGTGCCGCGGCTGCCATGTTGTTGGATGTTGTGGGAACCGGCTGCCGTAAAGACACCGCGACTGACGTAAAATGTGACGCTCGAGAAGGAGGAGGAGATGGTGGGGGTCTTGGGGGGAGAGGGAAAAGTGCACACTACACAATATTAACCGCTAGAAGGAGACCAAGGCTTTGTATAAAAGCTTGTAATAAAGCTTATGGTATATGTGGGATGAAGTCAGGTAATTTGAAAACCACCTACAATCCCGAAGAGTACACTGAGTGATATTTTAAGAACTTGTTATGATTCTCTGCTATATTTCTATAAAGAAAATATATCGCCAAGTGAAATACTTTAGAATGTCTGACCTTCAAACTCATCATAAACCCCTACCTCACTCCTATGGCGTGTTCAGGTGAAATAAGACAGTCATGTTTGTTTGTAGTAACTGTTTAAAACCATTTATCAGTTCAGCCATTAATTCATTAAATTAAACATGTAACCTTACTATTCATCAAAAAACATTTTCTTACTTTTCTGCCATGCTTTCCCTGTTATTTTGCTGCCTGTTTCCTTGTTGCCATATTGTCTTCAATGGATGCACATGTGTGTAACTGATAGCTAACTCTGGCCTGTTGTGGCTAACATGGACATTTTATGTTTTTAAGTGACAAAAATGCAAAAAAATAAAAAATAAATAAAATTTAAAAAAAAATTGTTATGTGACAGGGTGGCACACAACACCATAACTCCCGTTTGTATGTTACCTGTTAAAATAAAAACATGCTGGTTTTACTTCAGAAAAAAATCACATTTTAGCTTAAGTTTTGTCCCAGTTTACCCAAAATGTATTACTAACTCACTCAAAACAATTTCAGATAAAAAGTGTATTGTGAAAATGTTTTGATTACAAGCCAAAGATTTCATAAAATGCAATATCCTACAACCATTTTTGTTGTTATACCCTTATTGATTTAGCTAAAGTAGGCCTACTCTTATTACCATAAAGGGAAAATCAACATGCCACATGATTTACCTATCAAGTTCTGGGACCAGTGATTTATTGAATTTTTGCTCAGCACATCCTAATTATCTCAGATCAATCAAAATGATTGTTTCATGTAAAGGACATTTGTAGTAACAATGCAAAAACATTTTGGTGACTGGCTGCTAATGTTTAAAGAGCCCAAGATGTAAAACCTGAACCAGAAATATATGTTCTTTATTAGACGGTGAACAAATAAAGAAATTTAGGTGAAGGAATTTTCCCCCAAAGCATGAGGAAACAGTGGAGACAAAAGCAGAACCTGTCATTACATGCCTAACCCCAAGTTTGACTCTTTAAACAAGTCTTGACCCTAAATGACCCCACTATGGTAAGCTCACCCTGCTGTTAGCTACATCGTCAAAGTTCAAAACCTACAACAAAACATAAAGACATAAGATCATCAAAAGTGTGTGTTAGGTTAAAAAAAAAAAAAAAGCTGACACTGACCACAGACTACAGCCAACAGACACCAGACAGTAACACAAGGACTGATGACAGTCGTATACAATGTTGAGACGTTCAGAGAGAGCAACACTCAAAACACACTTGTAAAAGCGTTAAAAACAGCTTTACTTTTTTAACTCTCCTGATTTTCCATTAAAACTTCCTCAGCACCGGGACACTGTGCCGCGGCTGCCCTGTTGTTGGATGTTGTGGGAACTGGCTGCTGTAAAGACACTCCGAAAGATCTCAGTCTGTTGTAATGGGAGAATATTCCTAATCCCCAGACCCCCTGTCTTGGTGTTCCCCAGGGGTCCTCTTCTGTTTTCTATTTATATGCTTCCTCTCGGTCAGATAATCAGTAAGCACAATATTAATTTCCACAGTTATGCAGACGACAAGCAACTTTATGTTCCGCTGACTGGTAGTGACCGTGACAGTCTCTTTCATGTTATGGCTTGTCTCTCATATATTATGTGCTGGATGCCACAAAACTTCCTCCAGCTGAATGAGTCCAGATCTGAGGTCCCTCTTTTTTGGCCCCCAAATCCATGCTTCCGATTCATCACATCTGGATAACAGTAAATACCTGTTCAGGGCTCAGCCAAAAGGCCATTTCCCATCTTCATTTTCTTCAAAACTTGGCTACCGAATTTAAAAATCTCCTCAAAGCATACTTTTTAGGAAGGCTTTTTTATTTTTTTATTTATTTACTCTGTTTTGTTGGTCTAGTTTTTATCAATTTTATTATTTATCTTGCTATATAATGACGAAAACTCTGTCTGTGGGTGTGTCTGTTCCACGTTTTTCTACTCACTGACGTGGTAAATCTATGTGAATCTGCACATAGGCATTGAGGATTGGCATAGGTAGAAGATGACAAAGCTACTTTTTCCAAAAATTACACTATTATTAGTATATTCTTTTACAAAGTCATTGCATTCATCCCGTGAGTTACTGCGCAAGCACGTTGATATATGTATCCACCTCAAATGGACATCAGCTGTAGCCGAGCAGCGGAGTTACACTGTGCACGTGCTTTAATATATGCATCCACCTCAAACAGACATCATCTCAGCTGCAGCCGATAATGATAGGCTTATCTTAATATATCTTAATGACGAAAACTCTGTCTGTGTGTCTGTTCCGAGTTTTCCTCCTCACTGACTTGGTCAATCCATGTGAAATTTGGCACAGTGGTAGAGGGCCATGGGAGGATGCGAGTGAAGCAATATTACATCAATTGGCCAAAGGGGGCGCTATAGCAACCGACTGAAATTGCAAACTTTGAATGGGCATATCTCATGCCCCGTATGTCGTAGAGACATGAAACTTTGCACAGAGATGCCTCTCCTCATGAGGAACACATGTGCCTCAAGAACCCATAACTTCCGGTGATACAGATTTTCCGGCATTTTTAATTTTTTGAAAAACACTTCAAATCGATCTCTTCCTAGGAAGTTTGACCGATCTGCATGAAACTCGGTGAACATAATCTAGGGACCAATATCTAAAGTTCCCTCTTGGCAAAAGTTGGAAAACTTACTAAAACTGAGCTTCTATAAGGCAATGAATATTGTGGAGGGCGTCGCCCATCACATAAAGGTGTATAACATCTCAAGGGTTTCACCGATCACCATGCAACTTTGTAGGCATATGACCACACATAATCTGAGGGGACCCCTCCATTATTGACCTGATCAAACAAAATGGAGGCGCTAGAGAGCTAATTTCTTATCTAGGCCTAACTGCCATATCGATTTTTACTAAACTTGGTAGATATGTAGAACAGGACACCTCAAGATGACTGGAGAAATGGAACTCTAATTGGCAACTGGCTGGTTTTGCCTATATTTGACAGGAGAGTGAAGCATGACAGGAAGGATAGGAGAGAGAGAGCAAGGAAGACATGCAGCAAAGAACAAAGGCCGGATTCCAACCCCCACTGCTGCAACAACGGCTAGCCGCACCTTTCCCATGTGAACTACCAGTGCGCCCCACTTTTAAGTCAATACAACATATAAACACTTTAACTATGTGCATTTCAACATGCTACCTCAACTACTAATGTACAGTTTAAGTCCACTAACTATCCCACTATTGGCAATGGTACTACTGTACTTTCAATAAAGCAATCGCACTTCAAATTCACAAAAACTCTGTCTGAATACATTGCTCTTCTTCATGGGTTCAGTTGACTATTTAATCTGCAATTTCCTATGACCTGTATCCCAAACACACACCATGTGAAACTGTACGTGGGCAACTGTGCACTCAATGGGTATGGACTAGTATCCATGGTTTTCAGAAACATACAATGTGAATATTCTTTCTGGTGGTTAGGTTGGATGTTTGAGGACCATAGCTTTGAGCCTGTGATATCATGGGTTTGGGAGAGATATTTCTGAATATCACTTCTTCTGATGAGATTTACTTTTCAAAGCCAATGAAACAAAGAGAGGATAATGAGCCATATTTAGCTTCTATATGTGATGCTGCATGACCGTAGATCTTTCTCGCAGCAGACATGCTGACTTGCCACAACAGGAAAAGCAAAGGTTAAACACATTTTGTAAATGATGGCTCTGATTCACCAAGTTTCCCAGTAAGCCCAGGACTTAGCACACCTAAATGAAACACAGTTGTTTTTGATGTTGGATGTGGGCTTTTCCTGTTGTGATGTGTGCTGTTAAAAAGGTTTGGTGCACAGTCCAGATTCCTCTTCTGTTGGCTGTTATATGCTCAGAATTATGGAGTTTGTTTTCACCCACCTCTGCACAGATGCATTATAATGCTGTTGATGTTTGAACTATAGTAAACCTCAACTGTTACCTTTCCTGCAGGAACAAGGGTTAGACAAAGAGAGGAGGCAGCCCTGAATACGTGTCAATTTAAATGTTAAAACATTAAAGGGATAGTGCACCCAAAAATGAAAATTCAGCCATTATCTACTCACCCATATGCCGAGGGAGGCCCTGGTGAAGTTTTAGAGTCCTCACATCCCTTGCGGAGATCGGCGGGGGGAGCGGCTAGCACACCTAATGGCAGACGGCGCCCCAGACTAACGTCCAAGAACACAAAATTGAATCCACAAAGTATCTCCATACTGCTCATCCGTAGTGATCCAAGTGTGCTACAGCCGCGACATAAAATCTTGTTTCGAAAAACGTCATATGAACTCTGTTTTTAGCCTCACTGTAGCCTGTAACTCTGACTGCTTCTCTGTGCTCCGTGTTCGCGTGTGCACGCCTGTGTGAGACCAGCGAAAGCATGAGCTTTGCTCAATGCTCCAGCAGGGGCAAGCGCAAATCGTGGCAGCGGCATCTAGCCGTGGCACTTCCGGTGGCATCCTCAGGTGCCGCGGCAACTTCCGGTGGCATCCTCAGGTGCCACTGACTTGCTGCGGCAGCTGAGGCTGTTTGAGGCACTTGGCACTCACCTACCACGGCATTTACCGACCTGCCACGGCAACTACAGCTGTTTAAAGCAGCTGCCACTGGATGAAGTGACTGTGGAGCTGTTAAATGATCGTTTTTAATAAAAAATAATGATAATAAAAAGTGATTTAACCATTAAGACTTGGCACAAAACAATGTAGCATTATCAGAGCACTAAATATTTGTTGAATTCATTAATGCCAAAATCACGTGTGCGTGCGCGCACACACACGTGTGTGGCGTGTGTGTGTGTGTGTGTGTGTAGAAACAGCTGTTTACCTCTCTCTCTCTCTCTCTCTCTCTCTCTCTCTCTCTCTCTCTCTCTCTCTCTCTCTGCTACTGACCTGACACGGCAACTACAGCTGTTTGAGGCACTTGCCACTCACCTACCACGGAATTTACCGACCTGCCACGGCAACTACAACTGTCTCAACAGCACAGTAATGAAAACACTATTTAGCTTTTTTTTGTTCACTCTTTTTATTAACGTTGTTATTAAGCCTCTTCCTCAGTTTCCTCAAACCTGGCAAAAACTTTGTAATTTTTTTCATCCACGAGTTTTTCACAGAATTTGTCATAGTCCTTTCGTTTTTCGAAGACAAAGGTGAAGAGTTCAGCTGGAGAATCCTCCTCACCATAGTCTTTTCCCCATCTTTGCAGTAAACTGAGGGTCTCAGTTTGTTCCTCGTTGTCCATGGAAACAACAGCAGGAAGTTGAAGTCTCCCATCAAATTTTTCTTTGCTGCACCAGTCAGCTGCAGTCATGCAGTCTCTTAACAGACTATTTTCCTGCAGAAAAGAAAAAAAATTAAGTGTGGTCAAAGTATATAGTAGGCTACATATTTGTGTTGTTCTCAAATAATGCCTCAAAATTATTGAGCATTTGCAGTGCATAATTTTAAACGGAATACTGTTTTAATCAACATTTGTGTAATTCAAGACCTTACAGTTGTTTCTCTATTTGTACTTCATTCACCTCCAAGATTCAGCTTGCATATGAAATACTTAATCTGCCAACATATACAGGTGTCTATTTAAGCTTCAAGGGCCATAATGTCAAATTAATGCTCTGGTGATTGTGAACATTATGTACAACTTCCGCCATCAGGTGTCGCCTTTGAGCAAGTGAAGTGGGCTCTGGCCACTTAACAGCTGTGATGGCAAAGCCTTAAAACCAGAACAACTTTGTTGTTGCTGTGTATTGCATTTAATAGTAAGAAGCAATTTAGTACTTTCAGCAACACAGTTTTCTGGTGGATCAGAGCAACTTCACACATTGTAAGTTTTTGTTGCTGAGTGCAGAAATTAAGTTACTGTCAGTCAAACTATGTACCAACATCAAATCTGCCCATATTTATGTCTTCAAGACACTGACACTGCTTTGATATATGAAATATATACAAGTTTCACATGATTAATCTCCAGAGAGAGTGTGTGTGTGTGTGTGTGTGTGTGTGTGTGAGAGAGAGAGAGAGAGAGAGAGAGAGAGTTAGTGAGTGATTGATTGTGTTTAGATATGTCTTACCTCTTCTGAGCTTTCTGTGTCCCCTGTTGTGATCTCTGCAGCTCTGAAAAAACAGTAAAAGTTAAGGATCTGAAAATGAATCCATGCTACATTCTGCAATTATGTTAACTTGACCTGCCAAACTAATTTATGCCAAGACAGACAGAAAAGATAAAGTAATGTTGTGCATGCGCAGCCACAACACAGACCATGTCCTTTACCTTGTCTTGTCCTGGGAAGATGTGCTCTTCATAAGCAAAGATTCTGCTTGGTATCGGCACATGTTGCTGTTGTTTTGCAACCACTTAATCAAAATCTACAAAACAAACATGATTCTACTCTCTCTCTCTCTCTCTCTCTCACACACACACACACACACACACGCACACGTGATTTTGGCATTAATAAATTCAACAAATATTTAGTGCTCTGATAATGCTACATTGTTTTGTGCCAAGTCTTAATGGTTAAATCACTTTTTATTATCATTATTTTTTTTATTAAAAACGATCATTTAACAGCTCCACAGTCACTTCATCCAGTGGCAGCTGCTTTAAACAGCTGTAGTTGCCGTGGCAGGTCGGTAAATGCCGTGGTAGGTGAGTGCCAAGTGCCTCAAACAGCCTCAGCTGCCGCGGCAAGTCAGTGGCACCTGAGGATGCCACCGGAAGTTGCCACGGCAAACAGCGACAGCTGCCGCGGCACCTGAGGATGCCACCGGAAGTTGCCACGGCTTGATGCCGCGGCCACGACTACATCACGTGACACGTGCACCGCAGGGGGAGAGTAACCACAGTAGCTAAAAGATAACTTGCACGACGGTCTTTTAGCAAAGTACAGCCCAACATGTGTGAAGAATTTGAAATTGAGGAGGAACAGCATTTCTTTGTTGAGCCGTATTTTTTGAGCCCGAGTATACGGACGGAACTCAGGCTGCTGGACGAAGCAGCCGCTGCAGTTCATGAGCCTCAGCCAGCCGCAGAATACCGGAGTAGAGCACTGGAAACCTGGTGGTGTAGTTGTTTCAAATGCAAAGCAATGCCAACGGATGAGGAAAGTCTTTGCTGCTCAGACTGGGAATTGGCGATGCCTGCACTTGAGAATCTGGACATCAGTACTGACGAGACTGCTGCTCTTCAGAGACTGTGCATCACCGATCACCCTGAGCGCGCACACATGAACGCGGAGCACAGAGAAGCAGTCAGAGTTACAGGCTACAGTGAGGCTAAAAACAGAGTTCATATGACGTTTTTCGAAACAACTTTTTATGTCGCGGCTGCAGCACACTTGGATCACTATGGATGAACAGAATGGAGATACTTTGTGGATTCAATTTTGTGTTCTTGGACGTTAGTTAGGGGCGCCGTCTGCCATTAGGTGTGCTCAACATGTACCCAGGGGTTAGGCATCAATGTTAAATGTATTTAAACTGACATTCAGACTTGTTTGGGTCAAATTTGGTTTAAAACCAAAGTTATCAGTCCTTTTAACAGCAAAAAACTGATAAAATTACTTAACTTTCCAGGTGATATTTCAGACATAGAGCGCTGTGAGAGTCAGTGAGCCCTGAGCCATGCGCCCTGCTGTGGTAACTGACGTCCTTCTCCTGGTGGTGTTGACATTCATGTCAGACTCTGCAGCTGGTAAAAACCAAATGGTCCCAAAATAATGTTCCACACAGACAACAGGAACATAACACTGACAACACTTCTTCTTTTCCTGTGACACAGGGAATCCTGTTCCAGACTGTGGCAATGCTGCCACATGTGAAGGGATCGATGATGAAGGCTGGCTCCAGCTGGGTGAAAACTGCTGTTTGAAGCCATTCAACACATTGTATTTGACCTTTGATGAGGCAGAGGTGATGAGAACAAACACACACACCAGCCTTCAGACAGTAAATGTGATATCATCCTGTTCAGACAGGCCTTGTCAAGTGATAGTGAAGGCTAATTCGTATTTCTGTTGATTTCAGAGAGCCTGTAGTGAGTACACATCAAACAGTGGTTTGAGGGGAACTGCATCGATTTTCCATCTCAGTGTATTTCCAGGTGTTCGGGAGTCCTACTATGCATGTTTTAAAAGTAGTATGAAACCTTTAGTGTCTCTGGAGTTAACTGTATGAAGTCTGATAAAAATGATGTGATGTCACTTGAGTCAGGGTTGGTTTGAGACTACAAATTTGAAAAGTAATACAAATCTTGAGGTGTGTAGTTGTAGATACACAAGTGCAATGATGAATTTATGGATTACTCTTTTAATGCAGATCAATGGATGGTTGGATGAAATAAAGTGCCAGATGAATGATGGCAAAACTATAATCTTTCATCTTTTTGCTCTTTTAGCACTATAAAGATTATCTGGTTCCAAATGGGAAAGAAGTGGAAGTGAAATGAAAAAGGATTAAAGCATGATTATAAGAGTTCTTCAGTTTCTCACAAAAATTCAAAATCAATAGTTTGTAAAAAGTCAGCATGAACAGCAAACAGATCAGAACTAAATGACATCAATGGATCATTTTCCTTTGTGGTCCAAATAAACCAAACTATGGACCTTAGAGAGTCTGGGCTCTCCATTGATACTGAGGGCTCTAGTTTCCCGGTGCAGTGCGCAGGGTGCCGAACCCCGTGCAGAGCTAGTTTCGAGCAGCGCGACCTGAGGCACACTCAGTTTGGTAGTTTGGCAGACTGAGGTGCGCTGAGATGGGTGTGGCGGCGCAGCAGGGGGAGGTGTCGACAGATCCAGCTTGGCGCAGTGACAGTTTCGTGCCAAAAGGCTTCACCGAAGGTGCGCTAAAAGCTCACCAGCTGAAACCAGGTCTACTGTCAGCGCAGGCGGAGCGCAGCCGGTGTAAGCCGAAGTTTGGCTGACTGGCGGACAGTGTGCACACGTCACCAAAACCTCACAGGCAGGTTTCCAGAATATCAGGCACATTAACGATGCAATAAATACCCAAAAAACCACTATTCAATGCAACTATCTGCAATCAGCACATAAATGTATCTCTATATCGACTGTCCCGTCACATCTGATGTCAGATCAAAGGGGATTGGCACCGTTTGGCACGTTTGGCACGCGTAATGGAAACCCAACCTGATTTGATTAACACAGCTGCAAACTAATGAGTTCACATCCCTCTCAGCCAACCACAAACAGCCACAGCATCAGATAGGGAGTATATATTCAGCATCTGTCATCTTAGAAAAGTCAAAAGAAAAGAAACAGAGTGAGACTGCGAGAGAGAAAGAGAGAGCGCGCGCGCACGAGAGAAACGCAACATTGATTTACAATTGTGGTGACCTCCTCCCAGGCTACCTTTGCATCATCAGCCCGTGGAGGTCTGCTCGCAGTTCCGTATATTCGGACACTGCGAGCTTGGACCTCCCGGACCAAAACATCAGTTTCCTCCTGGGAGAAGTTTGGCCGTCTGACGCTGCTGCTCTCTTCTGCCATGGCGAATTGAGTAAACTCTCATTACGCCTTCGCGCGGCGCATTTAAGGGCGAGGAGAGGGGCTCATTTGATTAGTGTGATGTGTGTAAAACCCACTCCACGCCTTCTCTCCTCCCTCTTTCCGACTTGCGCAAGTAGGAGGGACGGAGGTGGGAAAGAGGAGTAGCTGTGCCAGCGCGCACGGTGTGCCAAACTTGCGAAATCCACCCACACCCAGTTGGCGAAGCGCAGGTGCACTTGCCCGGTCTGCGAAACTAGAGCCCTTTTCAGTTTCAATGTTCTTTGTTTCCCAGACTGGGGACAATGGAATGATATGCACTGCAACTTTCAAAGACACTATGGGCCCTATTTAGATGGTCTAAAGCGGACGACGGAAGGCGCATAATCCATGTCGCAAGTGTCATTGCTATTTAGATGCAGGCGCAGTTGTCATTTTCACGCACTGCGCCCTCGTCATTTAACTAGCAAATGAACTTGCGCTTCTCTGGGTGTGTTGGTCCAAAAATGAGGAGTGGTCAGGCGCAGTCATGGCGCGTTGCTAGTTAGATGACGTAAAAAGCAAATGCACGAGTGACCAACAAAAACCTAGTCTAAAGTCAACGGCGCAGTATTTCGCTGTTAAACAAGTTCGTAATATGCGTCTCTAGGCGGGTGCACAACGCGCGTGCACTCTGCTCAGACACACACGGAGCAGCCACACATATGCAAAAGATAACAAATAAAAATATGATTACAATGTGAAAGGTTATTATTGTGCACATTAAAATATTTATCAGAAACACGTCTTAATGGTCAGTCATTAATCAGAATGATCTAATCGCAGTAATAATGATTGTCATAATTTGTAATAATGACAAATGAAATTGTGAAATTATCTGACCAATCATTTTTTTGATTGAAAACCAAAGCCCACACATTGCATTTATTTTAATATGTTATACTAGGCTACATTATATTATATTATTATATTGTTATCTGAGTGTAGAGAGAACACACATGCAAATAAGAGGCAGAACACAGCTCTAGGAAACGTGAAAACAATTAACAAACATGGGTGGGGGAGAAAACGCTGAACAGGTCCTAGCTGCAGGATCAGCACCTTGGGGAGCTCTGTGGCAGTCCTGACAGCTGTGCTCTGTTATATGATGAAAACAGGTTTGAATAATATTCCACAGATATTTAGTGAGATCTTTCTTGTATTAGTGATCCCATGCCTGCTTTACCTCGGGGAACTTGGGTGCCTGTCTGCTGTCCCCGTAGATCTGGTTCTGACGGGCCTTCACCTCCCGCACGAGGAGATCCGTCTCCTCAGCTGTAAAACGCTCACTCTTTCCAGTTGGTAGGTCCGCCATCTAACTAGCTATCCGCCATGAACTCCAATCGCGCCTCTTTTAAAGGGAATGAGAGGTGACACTCTGATTGGCTTATTGAATGATACGCCCAAAACACACCCATGACTAATTCACAGAGTAAGTCCAACCCTTTTAGACTCTCCGCCATGGCGCACAGTCTGAAAACACGCTGTCTAACTAGCAAGTGACTGGGACATGCCCATGCCCCGCACGCCTGGCACTTCGCGTTTTAGACCATCTAAATAGGGCCCTGTGTGTGTGCTATGAAAATCTGATCAATCATGGTGGACATGAGGAGCTGATAAACTTAAGTAGTGTGGCAGTTTGACTGTATTCACTGCAAACACAAGTATTTGACACCTGCTGCAATAAATGATACATGTTCATCATCAGCAAACATGTTGATGGCTCTTGTTGCATTTTTGTTTTTATTTAGCAGTTGTAGCCACTTAGTAGAGGTTCCCACCATCTGTCCTGATGTCATGACATCAATACAAAACACGAAGGGCCGAATTCACAGAAGGATTGCGTGGCTTTTGCGGCTGCTAAACCGATAAAAATGGAGCAAACAGATAGCGTCTAATTCACAAAGCACGCGCAGAGGGTGAAATGCTCCACTAACTGCGCTGCCAAGCAGATTGCGTCTCGGTGCTCCGGTGTTATTTGCACATATTTAAATGAGGTAATATGCATATATTTGGCGCAAAAATTGCCCCTTTCTATGCAAATGAGCCTCATTGATAAACAACGTCTAATTCACTAACACCAGCGCTAATAGCCACACGCAGTTTGAGTGAAGTAAATAACGTCTTTAGAAAGCTGGTGCAAACTGGGCGCTCCTCTGTGGAAGCTTCTCGCCCAGACTTTCCAGTGATCGTGGCAGCAGTGATCGTCTGTTAAATCAGTCTGTAAATAATATTTTGACATTATTATTATAATCATTATTACTTTAATGGTATCCGAAGATACTGAACAAAAACTGTTCCATAATTCATATTAAATTCAAAAGATAACGAAAAAACAGCTACAAGTGAGAGGGAATAGTGATAAAGTGGTCAGACTTGGTCAAATCCACAGCCTCAACCCATCCGACACTGTTAGACTGACTCACCAGCAGACATCACTACATGAGGGGATACAGTATTCAGTACTTTGCCAAACAAAGTCTGCCATTGTTCTGCCACGGTGTTCTTGGCGCAAAGCCAGCATTTATACTTTGCCATGTGGCTAATTGCAATCAGGGGCAAATCAGGGGCAAACTGCACTCAGCTGCCAAACTTTGTGGGCGTGTTTGTGCTGGTATATCATTAGTGCAATATCCTTTGTGAATAGGATGTTAAGACGGAGCAAGCTGCGGGTGCAAGTGAAGTGCAATTCAAGGTGCTATCAGCGGCCGCAGTTCATTCTTTGTAAATTCGGCCTGAAGTTTTTTATATCACTCTGTCAAGACCAGAGGAGACGACCGCTAACAAAATGAAGAATAATAATAAAAAACGCCTGTCAAAATAACGTGTTAATTTTGATTAATCAATCTGAAAAAAACTAACGCTGATTAATGGCGTTCCATGGTGCCCTTTGACCCAGTGCATCATCCAAGGCCAAAGTGGCTTTGTCACATGATGGAAGCGGATGAGACGACGCTGCTTGACCCTGTGAATGGAATATTCACATTCAAAAAATGCCCAAATGGAACTGTTGATAGAAGCACTGTTCTCTGCAGTTTCTGCAGTAAGGAATTTTTGTACCATCAGCATACTTCAAGCCTAAAACATCACCTTAACGCAAAGCATTTAGCAGCGAACCCGGAGGTCCAAGCTAGCACAGCCTCTGATGGTAGAGCTAGCAACCAGCCTGGTCAAGCCATACTCATTTGGACACAAACTGAGTAAGTCTACCTGTGACCGCTTAATTTACTCCCTTGCAAAAGGCATTGCAATGGACTGCAGACCAGCTTGGGTGGTAGAGGACGGGGGAAAATCCAGCAGCTGTACTATGACACATACAAAATTTTCTAAAATAGTTTGACAGCAAAAGTTGATGTATGCGATTAATTTAGATTAATTAATCACAGAGCATGTAATTAATTAGTTGGGTTTTTTTAATCGCTTGACAGCCCTGAAAAAATATACAGGAGATATACCTGTAATTACACAAGTTATGAATAAAACTATTGTTGAGTGTACTGAAGGTATTTTTGTTATTAAAAGTTCAGATTGTGTAAATAAAGAATACTGTTCATTGTTATCTTTTTGTTGTATTTTAATATTTACCTGTAAATGTAAAAATTACCAACTAAATTAACAAGATAGAAATGTTGTCTGTTCATATGATGAAAACTATGGTATGTAAAGTGATGCTTTCGCCAAACATAATTAATGCTGCCATGGTGTTAAGTGTCAGTGGCAGCTGGTGAATATTTAGCTGGGTGGGGCTTACAGGCACCAAGGGCTCCCGCTTAGACTACACACTAATCA